CCTTTTTGCTAGCTATCTAACGTTAGCATTTTTGACAAACTTGGCTAGCTAGTGACAACATTGACATCTCTCTAAAGTCAATTTGACGACATCATAATGATGGCATAGTTGTATCCTACAAATTATTTGCCTACTTTAGCAATGTCATCGTATTTCCAGGTCACTATAGTGTAGACGAAACAGTCATTAGCTAACAGCATAGCTGGCTAGCTACCTAGCTACGTTTTAGTATCAGCAGTATCAATGCTTCATTGATAACCTGATGAAAAGCTCATTCACAGCTGGCTAGCTTTAGAAAACCCTTTCTCACATAATTAATTTTACTTACACAAAAAGATCCCACCTTCTCTAGCGTATTTTGTTTTTGTCGACATTTGGAAAGTTTACCCTCAAATTAGTTGTTTCCATCAGGCCTGTTTAGACATGTTTTTATCTGACATGTACTTTACTCGCATAAAAAGGTTGGATGGAAACCTGGTTTATGAGGTGGAAATAACACTCCAATTTCTTTTACATTTTGATAATGCCTTTTTGTGTAAGAACTGTTTGAAAAAAAACACCTGGAATTTCAGCCTGTTTGTGTGGGATGTAGTTTTGGCCCACAGCATAACGTTAGCCGGTGATCTGATTATAATAGACTAAAGATCGTTCAATTTATATTTGCATAAAATCCTCCTACAGTGCTGCTGGCCAGCTGTGAATGAGCTTTTCATCAGGTTATCAATGAAGCATTGATACTGCTGATGCTAAAACGTAGCTAGGTAGCTAGCCAGCTATGCTGTTAGCTAATGACTGTTTCGTCTACACTATAGTGACCTGGAAATACGATGACATTGCTAAAGTAGGCAAATAATTTGTAGGATACAACTATGCCATCATTATGATGTCGTCAAATTGAATTATTTGCCTACTTTAGCAATGTCATCGTATTTCCAGGTCACTATAGTGTAGACGAAACAGTCATTAGCTAACAGCATAGCTGGCTAGCTACCTAGCTACGTTTTAGCATCAGCAGTATCAATACTTCATTGATAACCTGATGAAAAGCTCATTCACAGCTGGCTAGCTTTAGAAAACCCTGCGCAGATCTAGTTTCAATCGTAGTATGAATGCACTGGGGGCCTGAAGGTGTCAGCATGCTTCCCAGCTGAAACAGTTTGGAAGAGTTCATGCATATATATAGTATGACAACGTTTTGTGACTTTAAGCCTACCCCTAACCATTTTGAATACAATGATGAGCCCATCAACCATCAGCAGACAATTAGTTGAGAGTTGAGAGCCCTTGAGAAGGTCTGTGAGAGAGTTTGGTGGCGACAGGAACAGTCATGTAATATATACTGTATAGTGTAGGTGGTTAACAGCAAGGTGGGAATTTACCAGTTGTGGGTAAAGGGACAGAAAATAACACAATAATTTCAATCTGAGTGGTGTCAACAGAAAGACTGGCTCTGTGGGGGCCAGCTGCCTGCTGTTCTCCACTAGCGACAGCATGTGGACAAGAGCCGGTTACTGCGACTTGAACAACTTGCCTATAGCACTCAACAAGCATGAGAAATCTGTGTCTCACATCCAAAGCCAGATAGCTCTTGACATTTGGCAGCTCACGGATATATATTGAACATCAGCATGCAAAGGTAAAAGAGAACCGTTAGATTTTGAAAGACCTAGATAGTTAATGCTACATCATGCTACCTAAACTCTTAGAAAAAAATAAGCGCTATCTAGAACCTAAAAGGGTTCTTCGGCTGTCCCCATAGGAGAAGCCTTTGAAGAACCCTTTTTGGTTCCAGGTAGAACCCTTTTGGTTCCAGGTAGAACACTTTTGGGTTCCATATTGAACCCTTTCCACAGAGGGTTGTACATGGAACCTGAAAGGGTTCTAACTGGAGCCAAAAGGAGTTCTACCTGGAACCAAAAATTGTTCTCCAATGGGGACAGCTGAAAAATCCTTCTGAAACCCTTTTTTCTAAGAGTGTAGATAAACAGGAGTTGGCATTTCAAATAGGCCCAGGGGCAACTAAGTAGAACTATTTCATGACTTTGCTGAAAATAATTACAGTTAACAACCCATTTAGAGACTGGCAACGTGTTTGGTTTTTGTTCATGGCCTCTTCCATGTTCTGCGCTCTTCCATGTTCTGCAGAACAATGTGATGGATATTGGTTTCTGCCATACTCGTATCAGTGACACAATGAAAGCACTGGAACCGCATCAACAAGACTGATCGTTTCTATGAGCGATTCGAGCAGAAATTTAATGAACTGGGCCTGGCAAGAAGCGAAACTCATAGTAAACAGCCAATCAGAGTAGAGGGGCCGAATCTTCTACAAGATACTGGACAATATCAATGTTCAGATGAGAGCCAGGTTTAACCACTTTGGTGAACTTTATTTCCTTGGCTTAGTACACTGCATTTTATTTTTTTACAATGTCACAAAAGGTTGACACCAGCAAACGAGAGCCTGTCAAAATATGCCAAGTACTTTGATTTCTTTAGACTTATGGCTGATCTTGTCAGATTGTACAGACAAATCACCTGGACAGCTCCTCAGTTTTTTGTTCCAGCATGACCTGGCACAGACTGTCCCAGAGGCGACAAAGTTACTGCAGCTGGTCCTCACTATACCAGCCACAACAGCATCCGTCGAGAGGTCATTGTCTGCGCTGAAACAGATAAAGACATACAGTCTAAACCGGACCGATCAAGGACAACTCTTATCCCTTGCCATCATCTACATCGCATTGAGACCAAGAGACTTTACCCAGAAGGATAGACAGATGGACTTTGTTTAACAGTAAGTGCAAGTGTTTATTCACAGTAGCGCCATCTACTATTATTACATTTCATGTCTATTGTGTATATATCTCAATCAGTAGCGCTGTCTACAAGTAGGCCTATTCGCTGGCATTTGGGTCGCTGTCTGTGGTGCTAAAAGTCGCCTGTTCGTGTAGTGCAGTTGTGTTGGGCACAAGCTATAAGGGCCTGTGAATGTGTGTCTAATGGTTGCGCTGCCTACCTGCTGCTGTTTTATGGTTGGATATGGATGTCTGATGGTCATCTTTGTGATCGCGTCATACTGATAAATACCGGAGCAAGTTTTGTTGTTGCATTTAACTGCTGAAAATGCTGTTATTTCCTTAGTAGTTGACATCAGAGGTCAGCATGTGGGAGAAGTGGGAGCTCTGGAAAAGTTCGATTTTCACATAAACAAATAACCTTCAATTCATTGCATTTTCATCTCTTATCAAAATGAAAAGAAACCAATAAATACATTTACTCAATGAAATATATTTTTTATATAAAAAACAAAAAACAATAACAAATAAAAAATATGTCCCATGCAACAATCTGTACTCTTAATTATTATTTTTTTACAAATATAATATATTATATATTTTTTCTTGGGGGGGCGAACCCACTATGGGTTGCAACCTCGACTTTGAATACCACTGTTCTAGGCAGTCTCTTCTGCTGATGTACAGTGCCTTCGGAAAGTATTCAGACCCCTTGACTTTTTCCACATTTTGATACGTTACAGCCTTATTCTAAAATTGATTAAATAAATACAAATCCTCAGCAATCTACACACAATACCCCATAATGACAAAGCGAAAACAGATTTTTAGACATGTTTGCAAATGTATAAAAAATTAAAAACTGAAATACCTTATTTACATAAGTATTCAGACCCTTTGCTATGAGACTCGATATTGAGCTCAAGTGCATCCTGTTTCCATTGATCATCCTTGAGATGTTTCTACAACTTGATTGGAGTCCAGCTGTGGTAAATTCAATTGATTGGACATGATTTAGAAAGGCACACATCTGTCTATATAAGGTCCCACAGTTGACAGTGTATGTCAGAGCAAAAACCAAGCCATGAGGTCGAAGGAATTGTCCGTAGAGCTCCGAGACAGGATTGTGTCGAGGCACAAATCTGGGGAAGGGTACCCAAAAATGTAATTGAAGGTCCCCAAGAACACAGTGGACTCCATCATTCTTAAATGGAAGAAGTTTGAAACCACCAAGACTCTTCCTAGAGCTGGCCGCCCGGCCAAACTGAGCAATCGGGGGAGAAGGGCCTTGGTCAGGGAGGTGACCAAGAACCAGATGGTCACTCTGACAGAGCTCTGGAGTTCCTCTGTGGAGATGGGAGAACCTTCCAGAAGGACAACCATCTCTGCAGCACTCCAACAATCAGGCCTTTATGGTAGAGTGGCCAGACAGAAGCCACTCCTCAGTAAAAGGCACATGACAGCCCGCTTGGAGTTTGCCAAAAGGCACCTAAAGACTCTCAGACCATGAGAAACAAGATTCTCTGGTCTGATGAAACCAAGATTGAACTATTTGGCCTGAATGATAAGTGTCACGTCTGGAGGAAACCTGGCACCATCCCTACGGTGTAGCATGGTGGTGGCAACATCATGTTTTTCAGCGGCAGGGACTGGGAGACTAGTCAGGATCGAGGCAAAGATGAACGGAGCAAAGTACAGCGAGATCCTTGATGAAAACCTGCTCCAGAGGGCTCTGGACCTCAGACTGGGGCGAAGGTTCACCTTCTAACAGGACAACGACCCTAAGCACACAGCCAAGACAACACAGGAGTGATGTCTTGGCCAGAGCCCGGACTTTAACCCGATCGAACATCTCTGGAGAGACCTAAAAATAGCTGTCATTGTCATTATGGGGTGTTGTGTGTAGATTGATGAGGGGAAAAAACAATGTAATACATTTTAGAATAAGGCTGTAATGTAACAAAATGTGGAAAAAGTCAAGGTGTGTGAATACTTTCCGAAGGCACTGTATGTGTTTCTGGTAGTGGTACTTTCTCTCTCCTCGTGATTGTGAATACCTGCCTGGCGCTCAAACAAAAACGTTTAGCGTTACCCCTCTCTAACATCACAGCTACAACCAGATCACACAGTCTCTAAGGCAGGGATCAACTGGAACCTTAAACTCATGTCACTTTTCACCTTAGGGCCAGACTCTGTCTAGTAATGCTCCAGGGTGACGTTTTTCCTATAGGTACAGATCTAGGGTCAGCTTCCCCTCCCCCAAACCTAACCTTAACCTTTAGTGGGGGAAATGCTCACGGTCTGGGACAACCTCACCATACTCCTCTGGTAATAGAGTCGAATTTCTTCCTTCTTCGGTCCACACACGAACACACAAAAAGTCCCCCAAAATGTTTTCATTAAGTTAACTCTGTTCACTCTGAAGGAAGAGGAAATTACTATTCACTGATGAAAGTCTTTAGCTCAGATAAGCCCTTTGTTTTTGTAACACTGAGAACCTGTATGAAGGGAACTGAGGTTGCAGTGGAATTTTAGATCATCAACGCCGGTTCTGTATCTGTTGGGAGAAGACTTTACCAATTCCAATGTTAAAATAAATTATCTGGCAGGTGAATCACCACAGGTCTTTATTTGAAGGCTTCAGCACGTGCGCACGCACTCACACACATGCACACACTCGCGCAAACACACACACACACATTGTCGTGTCTCTAAATTAACAGTTAGCACTTAGTCACTCCATGCAAACTTACAATACATTTTGGGATTTAAGCTACAGAATACAAACAGAACATGACAGTTAAAGCTAATTTTAAGGTCTTAACCTCAACACAAGTTGAATGTGTCTGATAATGCTATAATTTCATATATAAAACATTTCTCCTTTAGCTCTTGCTCTGAGTGGAATGTTTTTGCTAATCAAGGTTTCAAGTTTTAATGTCAGATGCACAAGTACAGTGAAATGCCTTTCTTGCAAGCTCAGTGAAGTATTGTTATTCTACATAACTCAACTTGCGTAGGACATGAATATATTTTGCTATTACTTGCATGTATTTATATAATCAGTATTTTATGGGTAAAAACCTGGAGCCTCATATATTGATAGTGGTATATCAAAAACATAAATCACTTTGTGCCCTTGGACCAATGAATGAGGAGTTTTCTTCTATTAGCTCACATCGCCACATAACGGTTGAATTTTAAAGATAAATCAGAGGTGTGTGTGTGCGGTGTGTGTGCTTGTGTGTGTCTGCCATGTCTGCCCTCAGTTTTTCTGATCATGCTAAAAGTTTGTGTGTGTGTGTGTCTGTGTGTGTGTGTGTGTGTGTGTTTCAGACTGTGCAGGCTGTGGTAGGGACATTAAGAACGGCCAGGCCCTATTGGCTCTGGAAAGACAGTGGCACCTTGGCTGCTTCAAGTGCAAGGCCTGTGGCACAGTGCTGAGCGGGGAGTACATCAGCAAGTGAGTAATCATCAACTGCAACACTCTCAATCCTCCTCCTCTCTTTTCTCTCTTTATCTCTATACCCGCCCTCTCTCTTTCTTTCTCTTAGCCCGTGTCCGAAAACCTGTGCTTGCACTCTAAATAGGTGGCTGATTGGGTATTTGAAAATATAAAGTTATACTAAGCTTTATGGAATTGTTTTAAGAAGGTCACACCAAGGATCATTTTGCTATTTGATTTGGAATTTTAAGACACCTTGAAGTATAAAAAAAAGATATAAAGATATTATTTAATGAAACATTTTATTACACCTTACTGCTATTAGCCAATACAAACGCATTGAATAACAGATTCACTACATGGAACAACAGATAGTCCCCCCCAAAAAAAATCTAAAGGAAGTTTGTTCTGATGTATCTGTCCTATATCTGAGAGATATAAGAAAGCTCAGGAAACATTTGTTATATATATATATTTTTTTTTTTTACATATATTTAACCTCTTATTTATTTTTTGGCACTAAACAGTCTCCATACAGTATATACAGTACTTCCATTCATTTTTTCATCTGGTACCGGGGGATCTTCAAACAAGTCTTGTGACGCGTGTGGGCATCCTAGAGCAAAACAACCAACATGTATGTGTTGGTGAGAGTCTCACCTTAGTCTGTAGCCCAAACTGTTCAGCTGCTACAGACAGAAGTTGGCAGATCGGCTTGTCATGGAAATTACCACCAGGGACACCTGAAGTCAATCTTAAATGAATCATTGTTTATTAACAGCAAGCTGAAGAGGTCACAGTCAAATTTAGATGCATAAAGTACCGGTCTGAAGTGAGCTCCAACGGGGCAGTCCCGTTAGTTCTCTTATATACTGCTTACACAGACAAGTTATATTTGCTTGATTTAGCTTATTCGTTATTCATAATTAATTAACGTTTGGTTCATGCATGTGACTGACCAATAGCTCACGAGGCTTCTACATAGAACACAGAAATTGGTTATTAAAAAAGCACAAACATTTTCCATCACATTCCCTCCTCTTATCACTCACTCTGTGATAAATATCATAACGTTTTATTCATTTGGTTATTACTTAAACAATCAAAGGAGTAAGTAAACAAAATCAACACATAAAACCACAGACTCTTTCAAACCCTTAATTCTGGGTTGTAAACTAAATCAACACATAAAACCAGACACTTCATCCTTTCAAAACCTTCTCTGGGTTGCTTCATACAGTTACACATGCTTCATTACACAATTTCATTCATGGATTCTGGCAATGATATTTCAGCTGGAGCTTTTGTCGCGACTGGCATGTTAATGACAGATCGGTATCTCAATGCATTTTTTTGTCTAAATTACTATAAAGTTTGCAGTGTGCAGACCTCCACAATCAACCTGATACCCAAAATAAACCATTTTGGATAAGCCTAAATCAATTACGGGCACGGTTGACCACCCCCCTCCCTTCCGGCACTCATTCTTCTGGCGTTTCTTCATTTTCTTCTTCAGATAGTGTTTCCGTTCATCCTCCCAACGGCACATGTTCAAAGTGGAAGGCTCTTGATAATGTCTGGGGAATAATCTGATTTTCCCAAGCAGACGAATTTCTCACCAGAGCCGCCACTGTCCTTTACGGTCCATTATGTCTTGTCCATTTTCCTACCAGTACACCAGCAGCATGAGAGAAGTTTGAATGGGATCGCTTTCCATGCTCACTCCACGTGCACTCATGTTGCTCCTGAGAGAAAAGGCATGAGAGAAAAGGCAGTGGATAGCTTCGACTGGATGCTGTGTACAGGTTGCTGGCTTGGACTCAGGTCTTACGGTAGAAGTGGTGAAGGACCATAGTGAACACCATTGTCACCATTACTTCAGCTGCTTAGAGGGGGTGAGGCTCACACTGTTCTTGGTCGAATTATCCCTTCCGTACATCTAGATAACATCTGTGGTCAACTTCGCCATAACAGTTTAGTTAAGGGCATTTCTGATTCAGGAAATCCAGACAAACTATTCACTGTATGACAAATTATTACTACTACCAATATTGTTAATACAGATTTCTAAGACAAATGTCAAAGAGAATAAAAATACACAATTAAACAATTTTTTCAATTATTATTCATTTATACTCTATCATTTCGGCGACCTCAACGCAGAGTTACAGGGTCAGGGAGTTAGAGGGCTAATCCTTAGAGAGAAATCCCGACTATCAAGCAGACCCAATCTGGTGAGATTTCTATTGAAGCAAGACAAAAACAAAATAGAAGCAAGACAAGAACAAAACAACAACAACAATACACTTCTTCCCTTTTGACAGGACTCACATTGTGATTCATGCGTAAAAATAAAAAAAACACTGCCGGTTAAATCAAAATAAAAAATAAAATTAGAATTACAACCCTTGATATCTCCATAAGGAAATACTTGTATCACATAAGGTAATAGTATAATAGACTAGAGACAGGTTTCCCTCATTCAGGGGCAGCGCTCTCTCTCTCTCTCCTTCTCTCTCTCGTGGTCCGAATCACACATAGGACTGTTGATAAATTATAAAATTCTACCTAATTATCAGTGTTTACATATTATATTTAAATCTCATCCAATGTTTCTAGCCTTTCTAATGATGGTGAAGAGGCCTCACCAGAAAGTCAGAACAGAGGTCAGAGGTCATTCCACCCCATTAAGTGAGTGTTTCTTTCCGTTTTCTTTCCCTGTACCTCATACTCATTATTTAAAGACATTTCAAACATTCTAAACATTTTGTGTACCAGGTTTACGTTGGGTTTTTCAGTATATTTCTTATCAAGAGAATTTACATGTGTGCCACCTAAACTCAATGTTATCCTCGTACACAAAATGTTTGGAATGTTTGAAATGTCTTTAAATAATGAGTATGTGGTACAGGGAAAGAAAAGGGAAAGAAACACTCGCTTAATGGGGTTGATTGACCTCTGACCTCTGTTCTGACTTTCTGGTGAGATAGATACTTCAATACATTTCATTTGTGTACCCTTTAAGGTGCATCCTTTCTAACCTGTGAGAAACCCACTAAAATAAAAAATAAAAGACCCCACACAATAAATCAAACAGTATTAACACCACTAGTGAATATTCATAACAGGTGGGTTGTGTGTGGGTGCTGGCGTGTGTGGTAAATCGTAGGGTAAAAACAAACAAAATGTCCAGGCCTTACTTAATTTGGAGCTCCTTTAACAGCCGGATTCGGTTACCTTTATACTAACTGTTCTCCCAAGGCACCTGCCTCAGAAAGCATTTCAAAGGGAGAGATACAGAATCATTGGTAAACTCATCAGAAAACTTGGTAGTGGACATTCCATAAGTCCTGCAAGAAAGAAAATAAACATGTACTTAGTTTACTACGCTACATCTTAATTAGTCCTAAAGATTCTTAATCTTAATTGAGTTTACTGCATCTTGGGCAGGAAGTCTTGATAAAACCATGCGCATACAGAATTATACTTCAGACACATCAGATGATACAGTGTCCCATTAAGCTGAATAGGCACCTTCTAAAGTAAAAAATCCCAGAGCCCCTTTCTTGTAATCTTATCATTTTGACCTGTTGCATTGACATATTATCTGTACCGACTGTGACATCAACTAGTCAAAATATGAAACCTGTTGTTTAACAAATCTGCTAGGACCTTCAAAAAGTTGGTGCTGGCTTATGAGCTCAATACGGTACTAAAAACATTTACTTGGATCTACTTCAATTCTGGACACAGTTTCATGTAATGGAAACATATTATTGTTTTAGATGACATTACCTTCTTACTTACTTAAATCACTGGTATATTCAAACTATCTAATTGAGAAATAATAATTGGAAATGGTCAAAAACGTATCTTATTCATCTGTCCCAAATATCCCACTACGTCCCTTACAGCCTGTTTGAGTTCAGTGAGTACTACCTATTTTCGACAGGAAGCTTATCTCTAACCCAAACACCAGATGGCAGCCTCTAATATAATGTCCCAAGGCTCAATCCCTCTGTTTGTCATGTGACCTTGTATTGAAAAATTTACTTCTTCAAATTACTAAGACATTGCATTATTAGAGTGATATCTGAAAGCCACTAATAGTACCATTCACTATGTTACTTTCACTAGTCTCCATATCTGTTTCCTTCAACTAGGACTCTGAAGACCCTCCCAATCACTACTGCTAATACACACGGATCACTCTCAAACAATGTTCTGCTTTTACCCCTATTGCAAGGTTTAAAAACAAAACAAACATAACTTTCTCCAAATTGGAAGGCATTGTTTTCATTTTATTCTACCCTAACAATATTACTCTTAATATGTATTACACATTTCTGTTGGATATTCACTTTCTGCTTCACACTTATTAAATGTCTATTTTTTGAAGATTACCATGTAATGCGCAAAATCTATAGAACACATTGGCCAATTCAGAAGGGAAGAGATAAACTTTCTGGGATCAAAACATGTATTAAAACTGGGCTGGCACTGTCTAGCAGTCCCCTGTAGATGGCGTGCTCTGTCCATAATAAGTCTCTTCCTAGCAAGTTAAACTCTAGTAACCCATTATACATTAATGCATTGTTACTTTATCAAATATAGTAACCAATTATACTATTCATTTCTCTTAATACTTTTTAAACCACTTACATACGTCTACGTGTGAGTATACAAGTTGTATATTATTATTATTTTTACCATTGTTACTTCATCAAATCTCTAGTAACCCATTATACTTTTCTCTTAATACTTAATACTCGTTTTTGTCCGAGTTCCCAGTTGTCTTGACCTCACTGAAGTCTGGGATTTCCCAGTTCCGAGTTTCCAGTTGTTTTGAAAGCGGCAGAAGTCATGCTGGATTGACAGCATGGCCAATGTTGAATGTTTATCCTTTTAAACTTGGAAAAGAGACCCTTAAACCCAGACTTGGACCACACACCCACTCCACTGAATAGAAGGCTAGTGATTGCTTTGCAAGGCTTGCAGTTAGCCACTGTCGAATTTGCGATTTCCAACTGCTTGTGTAATGTTTATGTCCAATGGCCGATGAGCACCGATACATTTTATCTATAATTCCTCTTCATAATTTCTCTCTTCATATGATAAGGATTGAAAAGTATTTGCCAGTAGATTGTCGATATGATTCATAATGATGACTGCTAGCTTGCTTACTAAGATATAGAAAGTATAATGTTGACATGATCAGTCCAATCAAAGCTAAAGTAGATATAACGTGATTTGATGTCATTTTATCTGTGACCAATGACCTTGAGCCTTCTTGGATGGGCACTTCTAATGTAACTCTATGGCAGCACCCAAGGGGCTTGAATTTTTTAGCTCTACCCGTAGATTTTGCGGCGACGTAGTGTCCCCATGAGTGACTGAACACTGAGCCAATCACGGTGCAAGTAGAGAACATCAGCAACCCCTACGCTCCGTATTTTCCGCAGGTTGCCCCACCACAGAAAGAACTGAGCTAGGCTGAAACACCTACATTATGGAGCTGCTTTACTCAAGAAAGCAAAAAAGAGACCATGTTTGTAGCGGCTTTATTATCTCAAATATACACTGCTCAAAAAAATAAAGGGAACACTAAAATAACACATCCTAGATCTGAATGAATGAAATAATCTTATTAAATACTTTTTTCTTTACATAGTTGAATGTGCTGACAACAAAATCACACAAAAATTATCAATGGAAATCAAATTTATCAACCCATGGAGGTCTGGATTTGGAGTCACCCTCAAAATTAAAGTGGAAAACCACACTACAGGCTGATCCAACTTTGATGTAATGTCCTTAAAACAAGTCAAAATGAGGCTCAGGAGTGTGTGTGGCCTCCACGTGCCTGTATGACCTCCCTACAATGCCTGGGCATGCTCCTGATGAGGTGGCGGATGGTCTCCTGAGGGATCTCCTCCCAGACCTGGACTAAAGCATCCGCCAACTCCTGGACAGTCTGTGGTGCAACGTGGCGTTGGTGGATGGAGCGAGACATGATGTCCCAGATGTGCTCAATTGGATTCAGGTCTGGGGAACGGGAGGTCCATAGCATCAATGCCTTCCTCTTGCAGGAACTGCTGACACACTCCAGCCACATGAGGTCTAGCATTGTCTTGCATTAGGAGGAACCCAGGGCCAACCGCACCAGCGTATGGTCTCACAAGGGGTCTGAGGATCTCATCTCTGTACCTAATGGCAGTCAGGCTACCTCTGGCGAGCACATGGAGGGCTGTGCGGCCCCCCAATGAAATGCCACCCCACACCATGACTGACCCACCGCCAAACCGGTCATGCTGGAGGATGTTGCAGGCAGTAGAACGTTCTCCACGGCGTCTCCAGACTCTGTCACGTCTGTCACATGTGCTCAGTGTGAACCTGCTTTCATCTGTGAAGAGCACAGGGCGCCAGTGGTGAATTTGCCAATCTTGGTGTTCTCTGGCAAATGCCAAACGTCCTGCACGGTGTTGGGCTGTAAGCACAACCCCCACCTGTGGACGTCGGGCCCTCATACCACCCTCATGGAGTCTGTTTCTGACCGTTTGAGCAGACACATGCACATTTGTGGCCTGCTGGAGGGCTCTGGCAGTGCTCCTCCTTGCACAAAGACGGAGGTAGCGGTCCTGCTGCTAGGTTGTTGCCCTCCTACGGCCTCCTCCACGTCTCCTGATGTACTGGCCTGTCTCCTGGTAGCGCCTCCATGCTCTGGACACTACGCTGACAGACACAGCAAACCTTCTTGCCACAGCTCGCATTGATGTGCCATCCTGGATGAGCTGCACTACCTGAGCCACTTGTGTGGGTTGTAGACTCTGTCTCATGCTACCACTAGAGAGAAAGCACCGCCAGCATTCAAAAGTGACCAAAAACATCAGCCAGGAAGCATAGGAACTGAGAAGTGGTCTGTGGTCACCACCTGCAAAACCAGTCCTTTATTGGGGGTGTCTTGCTAATTGCCTATAATTTCCACCTGTTGTCTATTCCATTTGCACAACAGCATGTGACATTTATTGTCAATCAGTGTTGCTTCCTAAGTGGACAGTTTGATTTCACAGAAGTGTGATTGACTTGGAGTTCCATTGTGTTGTTTAAGTGTTCCCTTTATTTTTTTGAGCAGTGTATATATTTTTACATTCTTTGCAAACTGATATGTGACACGTATTAATGCCAAAATAACATGCAAAACAGGCCCCACCTGCCCTGAATGACGGGACGCCTCTGGTTGGTTAACCCCTGTGCTGTGATTTGTGTTGATATTGGTGTGTCTTATCCATTTTCTCCAATGTCTATCTGGCAAACAGGCTACACTTTAGGCCAGTGATATTAAAACTTTTACAGCGTGGACCCCATTTTTTCCACCAGAATTTCTGGGGACCAATGTTTTTCTGGGGACCAATGTTCTGGGGACTAAGTTGTTTCATCACTGAGCAAATTTCAGGTCTGCTGAGCAGCAAATGCAACTTCCGGCACATTTACTGTGAACGCTGAGGCTGTACCCGCTTTAAGTTCGTTTTAACAGTGGTCTTGTAGGCTACAGTGGCTATTTGATCATAATGTAGACCTACCAGAGTGGCATACCATCAAAAACTAGAAGCACAAGCATTTCGCTACCCTCGCAATAACATCTGCTAACCATGTGTATGTGACCAATACATTTGATTTGATTTGATTTGAAAACAATGGAGAAAATGCATTCCTTAACATTTTAACATGGAAATAGCTGTTCTATCATTCAGCCAATCTGTGGTGTTCAATGTAGGCTTACATTCCATGAGACTTTTCAAAAAAACATGCAGGGCTTGGCATTAAGCTGTTTATCCACTTGTCCTTCAGACAAGGAGGTGACTGAAAATGTTGTTGTGTTGTTTAATGCAAGAAACCACTTTGCAAAATAAAATACATAATTATTCTCATACTATTATTACAGAGAATCAGACAAATTATGCTACCCTCTGCCTATAGGTTACTTCGCTTATTCAAGCCTGTCTCAAAATACAACACTGCCCCTTCAAGATATAAAAAAAAAGCTCTTTACCTGACCCGCTTTTCAATGATGTCTAGAAATTCACAAGTTTTGTGCTCTTGTAGGAAGCAATCACTCACCCATTGCTGACTACAAATGATCTATAAGTGGGCTAATAACTCACTACAAATGTACACACATCGCTACATTTAGCTCTCAAAACAAGCGCATTTACTCACGACCACTCATGCTGTAAAAAACTGGGAATGGCACAGATCCATATATGGCAATGGTCTATTTGCATATAGGCCTACTGCAGCTCTGATTGGTTACCTGTCTGTGTAGAGTAGGGGCCTGAGTCGTGCCTGTTAACTGCAATAGAATCCTACTCCGATGCATTCTGCCTACAACAAAATCTCCCGATTTTCGGGATATCTCATGGTCTGACAAACACCGCTCTACCTTTGTCACCTTTCACCAGAGATGCAGAAGTGCAACATAGGCAGATATCCAATGCAGATATCTCTAGCTTAAACGGACAGATTTTTATGGAGATGTTTTTATTATGCTAATTCGATTTCCACGGGGGCGACATTCGACCTTAGGGGTTTAATGGCATTAGTTATTCGCGATTAATCGCAATTTTAGAATTTGCTCAAATTTGGCCCTAAAGAAAGATGTTTCCATTAATCCTGAAGAGTCTATTGACGCACTCTAATCTAAGTAACATCATTTAAAAAATACCCATCAAACGTCAGTTTAAACTAGAGATATCTGTTTTGCATGGGCTGCGTCTCAATCCACCTCATCCGCTTATGTCGGCCTTCCTTATCTGCGGTGGAAGGTGGACGAGCTACAGCAGTGTTTGTCAGACCATGAAATAATCAAATAATGCTTGTATATATTTATTTTATAACTAAAGGGGTCCTACAAATAAAAATGAAATAGCTAAATGATCCATGGTATGACCATCTTAAAACAATTCCATATGTTAGCTTAGTAGACCCCCCCACCACCAACGGTTTACACTTTAAAGCAGGGCATTGAGTTACAGGCATACCATGCTTTGATAGTTAGGGATGGAAAGAATATTATCTACATCCAAATGTTTTCATAGCCTTTTCACGATAAACAACACAAAAGACACTGTAACACACAGCTATTAATTCTCCCAATGTTTAAGTAGGCCTACTCTTATCAATGTTGTTAAAGTTTAACACTTGCACACAGCACACAGACTCAAAGCTTCAAGCATTCTAAATGAGTGTGACTACAGGAAAAAAGAACTGGCTCTATGGATACAAAGAGCTTTTAAACTTGGGTCACACTTTTTTTGGATACTTCGGATTTTCTACAGATGGATGAGCAACTGTTGCTAAGGTTACGGATAGGGCTAGGTTTAGAATACGGGTTAGGGCTAGGGTTAGGGTAAGAAGTTTAGGGTTAGGATAAGGGTTAGGGTTAAAGCTAGGGTTAGTAGATAGTTAGTTGAAATGTTACTGATAGTCTGTAGATAGTCTGTAGAGCCTCTACATATGGAATATCCAAATGAAGTGTAACCTAAACCTGTCCAACAATGGTATGAAAACACAGTAACCATCTGTACTGTTCAGATAACTTTACACACACAGGCATACACACTCTCCCTCTGTCCCACACCTCTCTCTCACTTCCGCTCTGACACACATCCTCTCTCACACACATACACCACTCTTGCATATGCAGCTTACCTTTGAAGCATCTCTTTGAGTAGCCTATTTCTTTTGAGTTCTTCCTGTGCCATCTACATTTGTGCATAGCCTAGTCAGTGGTAAAGTGATCAGGTTGCTAACTAGCTAGCTAGGTGACATGACTAGCTAGTTAAACAATGTTGTTTGTTATCAAACCAAGAAAGAGCGGTTTGCGAGTAGTTTAAAACATCAGGCGGCATGCGCACAAATCCGCGGCAGAAAAAAAAAACATAGCTCCGGTAATATTGGGCTTAACCTTTACATAATTTTGGCTAGAGGCACACGGTCTTCAGCTACAGTGCATTCGGAAAGTATTCAGACCCCTTGACTTTTCCCACATTTTGTTACGTTACAGCCTTATTCTAAAATTGATTAAATTGTTTTTTTTACCTCATCAATCTACACACAATACCCCATAATGGCAAAGCAAAAACAGAGTTATAGAAATTCTTGCAAATTTCTTAAAAATAAAAAACTGAAATAATACATTTACATAAGTATTCAGACCCTTTACTCTGTACTTTGTTTAAGCACCTTTGGCAGCGATTACAACCTCAAGTCTTCTTGGGTATGATGCTACAAGCTTGGCACACCTGTATTTGGGGAGTTTCTCCCATTGTTCTCTGCAGATCCTCTCAAGCTCTGTCAGGTTGGATGGGGAGTGTCGCTGCACAGCTCTTTTTAGGTGTCTCCAAAGATGTCAAATCAAATCAAATCAAATTGTATTGGTCACATACACATATTTAGCAGATGTTATTGCGGGTGTAGCGAAATGCTTGTGTTTCTAGCTCCAACAGTGCAGTAGTATCTAACAATTCACAACAATACACACAAATCCCAAAGTAAAATAAGGGAATTAAGAAATATATAAATATTAGGAGTGGCATAGACTAAAATACAGTAGAATAGAATACAGTATATACAGTTGAAGTCAGAAGTTTACATACACCTTAGCCAAATACATTTAAACTCAGTTTTTCACAATTCCTGACATTCAATCCTAGTAAAAATGCCCTGTTTAAGGTCAGTTAGGATCACCACTTTATTTTAAGAATGTGAAATGTCAGAATAATAGTAGAGAGAATTATTTATTTCAGCTTTTATTTCTTTCATCACATTCCCAGTGGGTCAGAAGTTTACACTCAATGAGTATTTGGTAACATTGCCTTTAAATTGTTTAACTTGGGTCAAACGTTTCGTGTAGCCTTCCACAAGCTTCCCACAATAAGTTGGTTGAATTTTGGCCCATTCCTCCTGACAGAGCTGGTGTAACTGATTCAGGTTTGTAGGCATCCTTGCTTGCACACACTTTTTCAGTTCTGCCCACAAATGTTCTATAGGATTGAGGTCAGGGCTTTGTGATAGCCACTCCAATACCTTGAATTTGTTGTCCTTAAGCCATTTTGCCACAACTTTGGAAGTATGCTTGGGATCACTGTCCATTTGAAAAACCCATTTGCGACCAAGCATTAACTTCCTGACTGATGTCTTGAGATATTGATTCAATATGTCCACATAATTTTCCTTCCTCATGATGCCATCTATTTTGTGAAGTGCACCAGTCCCTCCTGCAGCAAAGCACCCCCACAGCATGATGCTGCCACCCCCGTGCTTCACGGTTGGGATGGTGTTCTTCGGCTTGAAAGCATCCCCCTTTTTCCTCCAAACATAACGATGGTCATTATGGCCAAACAGTTCTATTTTTGTTTCATCAGACCAGTGGACATTTCTCCAAAAAGTACGATCTTTGTCCCCATGTCCAGTTGCAAACCGTAGTCTGGCTTTTTAATGGCGGTTTTGGAGCAGTGGCTTCTTCCTTGCTGAGCGGCCTTTCAGGTTATGTCGATATAGGACTCGTTTTACTGTGGATATAGATACTTCTGTACTTGTTTCCTCCAGCATCTTCACAAGGTCCTTTGCTGTTGTTCTGGGATTGATTTGCACTTTTCATACCAAAGTACGTTAATCTCTAGGAAACAGAACGTGTCTCCTTCCTGAGCGGTATGACGGCTGCATGGTCCCATGGTGTTTATACTTGCGTACTATTGTTTGTACAGATGAACGTGGTACCTTCAGGCGTTTGGAAATTGCTCCCAAGGATGAACCAGACTTGTGGAGGCCTACACATTTTTTTCCGAGGTCTTGGCTGATTTCTTTTGATTTTCCCATGATGTAAAGCAAAGAGGCACTGAGTTTGAAGGTAGGTCTTGAAATACATCCACAGGTACACCTCCAATTGACTCAAATTATGTCAATTAGCCTATCAGAAGCTTCTAAAGCCATGACATCATTTTCTGGAATTTTCCAAGCTGTTTAAAGGCACAGTCAACTTAGTGTATGTAAACTTCTGACCCACTGGAATTGTGATACAGTGATTTTTAAGTGAAATAATCTGTCTGTAAACAATTGTTGGAAATATTACTTGTGTCATGCACAAAGTAAATGTCCTAACCGACTTGCAAAAACTATAGTTTGTTAACAAGAAATTAGTGGAGTGGTTGAAAAACAAGTTTTAACGACTCCAACCTAAGTTTATGTAAACTTCCGACTTCAACTGTACATATGAGATGAGGAAAGCAAACATATGTAAACATTATTAAAGTGACTACTATTTCATTATTAAAGTGGCCAGTGATTCCATGTATATAGGGCAGCCTCCTCTAAAGGTGCAGGGTTGCGTAACTGGGTGGAAGCCGGCTAGTGATGGCTATTTAACAGTCTGATGGCCTTAAGATAGAAGCAGTTTTTCAGTCTCTCGGTCCCAGCTTTGTACTGACCTCGCCTTCTGGATGATAGCGGGGTGAACAGGCCTTGGCTCGTGGTTGTTGTCCTTGATGATCTTTTTGGCTTTCCTGTGATATCGGGTGCTGTAGGTGTCCTGGAGGGCAGGTTGTTTGCCCCCGGTGATGCGTTGGGCAGACCACACCACCCTCTGGAGAGCCCTGCAGTTGCGGGCGGTGCAGTTGCCGTACCAGGCAGTGATACAGCCCGACAGGATGCTCTCAATTGTTCATCTGTAAAAGTTTGTGAGAGTTTTAGGTGCCAAGCCAAATTTCTTCAGCCTCCTGAGGTTGAAGAGGCGCTGTTGCGCCTTCTTCACCACACTGTCTGTGTGGGTGGACCATTTCAGATTGTGTATGCTGAGGAACTTGAAGCTTTCCACCTACTCTACTGCGGTCCCGTCGATGTGGATAGTGGCGTGCTCCCTCTGCTGTTTCCTGAAGTCCACAATCAGCTCCTTTGTTTTGTTGACGTTGAGTGAGAGGTTATTTTCCTGAAACCACTCTCCCAGGGCCCTCACCTCCTCCCTGTAGGTTGTCTCGTCATTGTTGGTAATCAGGCCTACTAATGTTGTGTTGTCTGCAAACTTGATGATTGAGTTGGAGGCGTGCATTGCCACACAGTCATGAGTGAACAGAGAGTACATGAGGGGGCTGAGCACGCACCCTTGTGGGGCCCCTGTGTTGAGGATCAGCGAAGTAGAGGTGATGTTTCCTACCTTTACCACCTGGGGGCGGCCCGTCAGGAAGTCCAGGACCCAGTTGCACAGGGCAGGGTTCAGACCCAGGGCCCCAAGCTTAATGATGAGCTTGGAGGGTACTATGGTGTTGAATGCTGAGCTATAGTCAATGAACAGCATTCTTCCATAGGTACTCCTCTTGTCCAGGTGGGATAGGTCAGTGTGCAGAGCGATGGCGATGGTGATTGCATCGTCTGTGGATCTATTGGGGCGGTAAGCAAATTGAAGTGGGTCTAGGGTGTCTCAAAGCAATTCATGATGACAGAAGTGAGTACTACAGGGCGATAGTCATTTAGTTCAGTTACCTTTGCTTTCTTGAGTACAGGAACAATGGTGGACATCTTGAAGCAAGTGAGGACAGCAGACTGGGATAGGGAGACATTGAATATGTCCATAAACACTCCAGCCAGCTGGTCTGCGCATGCTCTGAGGATGCGGCTAGGGATGTCGTCTGGGCCGGCAGCCTTGTGAGTGCTAACATGCTTAAATGTCTTATTCACGTCGGCCACGGAGAAGGAGAGCCCACAGTCCTTGGTAGCGAGTCGCGTTGGTGGCACTGTGTTATCCTCAAAGCGGGCGAAGAAGGTGTTTAGCTTGTCCGGAAGCAAGACGTTGGTGTCCGCGACGTGGCTGGTTTTCCCTTTGTAGTCCATGATTGTCTGTAGACCCTGACACATATGTCTAGTGTCTGAGCCATTGAATTGCGACTCCACTTTGTCTCTGTACTGACGTTTTGTCTTTATGATTGCCTTACGGAGGAAATAACTACACTGTTTGTATTCGGCCATAGTACCAGTCACCTTGCCATGGTTAAATGCGAAGGTTCATGCTTTCATTTTTGCGCGCATGCTGCCATCTATCCACGGTTTCTGTTTTGGGCAGGTTTTAATAGTCACAGTGGGTACAACATCTCCTATACACTTCCTGATGAACTCAGTCACCGTATCCGTGTATTCGTTGATGTTTCTCAGAGGCTACCCGGAACATATCCCAGTCCGCGTGATCAAAACAATCTTGAAGCATGGATTCCGATTGGTCAGACCAGCATTGAATAGACCTTAGCACGGGTACTTCCTGTTTGAGTTTCTGCCTATAGGAAGGAAGGAGAAAAATTGAGTCGTGATCAGATTTGCAGAAGGGAGGGTGAGGGAGGGCCTTGTAGGCATTTCGAAAAGTTGAGTAGCAGTGGTCCAATGTTTTCCCAGAGCGAGTACTACAGTCAATGTGTTGGTAGAACTTCGGTAGCGTTGCTTTGTTAAACTCCCCAGCTACAATAAATGCGGCCTCAGGATGTGTGGTTTCCAGTTTGCATAAAGTCCGGTGTAGTTCTTTGAGGGCCGTCGTGGTATCGGCTTGTGAGGGAATATACACTGCTGTGACTATAACCGAAGAGAATTCTCTTGGGAGGTAATACGGTCTGCATTTGCTTGTAAGGTATTCTGGGTCGGGTTCAAGTCTGATCGGGTTCAAGTCTGGGCTCTGACTGGGCCACTCAAGGACATTCAGAGACTTGTCCCGAAGCCACTCCTGCGTTGTCTTGGCTGTGTGTTTAGGGTCATTGTCCTGTTGGAAGGTGAACCTTCGCCCCAGTCTGAGGTCCTGAGCGCTCTGGAGCAGGTTTTCATCAAGGATCTCTGTGTACTTTGCTCCGTTCATCTTTTCTCTCGATCCTGACTAGTCTTCCAGTCCCTGCCTCTGAAAAACATCCCTACAGCATGATGCTGCCACCACCATGCTTCACCGTAGGGATAGTGCCAGGTTTCCTCCAGACATGACGCTTGGCATTCAGGCCAAAGAGTTCAATCTTGGTTTCATCAGACCAGATAATCTTGTTTCTCGTGAGAGTCCTTTAGGTGCAATTTGGCAAACTCCATGCGGGCTGTCATATGCCTTTTATTGAGGAGTGGCTTCCATCTGGCTACTCTACCATAAAGGCCTGATTGGTGGAGTGCTGCAGAGATGGTTGTCTTTCTCCCATCTCCATAGAGCAACTCTGGAGCTCCGTCAGAGTGACCATCGGGTTCTTGGTAACTCCCTGACCAACGTCCTACTCCCCCGATTGCTCAGTTTGGCCGGGCAGCCAGTGGTTCCAAACTTCTTCAATTTAAGAATCATGGAGGCCACTGTGTTATTGGGGATCTTCAATGCAGCAGACATGTTTTGGTACCCTTCCCCAGATCTGAGCCTCGACACAATCCTGTCTCAAAGCTCTAGGGACAATTCCTTCGACCTCATGGCTTGGTTTTTGCTCTGACATGCACTGTCAACTCTGGGACCTTATATAGAAGGGGGTATGCCTTTCCAAATCATGTCCAATCAATTGAATTTACCACAGGTGGACTCCAATCAAGTTGTAGAAACATCTCAAGGATGATCAATGGAAACAGGATGCACCTGAGCTCAATTTCAAGTCTCATAGCAAAGTGTATGAATACTTATGTAAATAAGGTATTTCTGTGTTTTAGTTTTTATAAATAACCTGTTTCGTATTGTATCGTGAGGTCCCTGGCAATTCCCAGCCCTACTAAACAGTATGTTCTAAATAGTATGTAGTACGATTAGTACACTTTATGTCATTTTAAAGTAGTAGGCAAGACACATTTCGGACACAGCCAATAACTAAGTGTTTATTGACTAGACATTTTCAGATCTTGCCCTCTCTGTCTGCCTGACTCTCTCATTCCCCAACCCCCCTCTTTTCTCTCAGGGACGGCACCCCCTATTGCGAGAAAGACTACCAGATCCACTTTGGGGTCCAGTGTGAAGCCTGTAATCAGTTCATCACAGGGAAGGTTCTGGAGGTAAGAACCATTTCCTCATCCCCTTGCTCCTCCCGTCCCATGACTTGAAATTCTCAGTCATTGGTCATTCAGTCGTTGCTGTTCATTGCTTTGAATGAACCGTGTGCGTAGTCAAGTTCTATATTGCTGGATTTCTCCATCCATTCCTCCGGGGACCTACAGTGAGGGAAAAAAGTATTTAATCCCCTGCTGATTTTGAACGTTTGCCCACTGACAAAGACATGATCAGTTTATAATATTTATGGTAGGTTTATTTAAACAGTGAGAGACAGAATAACAACAAAAAAATCCAGAAAAACACATGTCAAAAATGTTATAAATTTATTTGCATTTTAATGAGGGAAATAAGTATTTGACCCCTCTGCAAAACATGACTTTGTACTTGGTGGCAAAACCCTTGTTGGCAATCACAGAGGTCAGACCTTTCTTATAGTTGGCCACCAGGTTTGGACACATCTCAGGAGGGATTTTGTCCCACTCCTCTTTGCAGATCTTATCCAAGTCATTACGGTTTCGAGGCTGACGTTTGGCAACTCGAACCTTCAGCTCCCTCCACAGATTTTCTATGGGATTAAGGTCTGGAGACTGGCTAGGCCACTCCAGGACCTTAATGTGCTTCTTCTTGAGCCACTCCTTTGTTGCCTTGGCCGTGTGTTTTGGGTCATTGTCATGCTGGAATACCCATCCACGACCCATTTTCAATGCCCTGGCTGAGGGAAGGAGGTTCTCACCCAAGATTTGACAGTACATGGCCCCGTCCATCGTCCCTTTGATGCGGTGAAGTTGTCCTGTCCCCTTAGCAGAAAAACACCCCCAAAGCATTATGTTTCCACCTCCATGTTTGACAGTGGGGATGGTGTTCTTGGGGTCATAGGCAGCATTCCTCCTCCTCCAAACATGGCGAGTTGAGTTGATGCCAAAGAGCTCGATTTTGGTCTCATCTGACCACAACACTTTCACCCAGTTCTCCTCTGAATCATTCAGATGTTAATTGGCAAACTTCAGACGGGCCTGTATATGTGCTTTCTTGAGCAGGGGGACCTTGCGGGCGCTGCAGGATTTCAGTCCTTCACGGCGTAGTGTGTTACCAATTGTTTTCTTGGTGACTATGGTCCCAGCTGCCTTGAGATCATTGACAAGATCCTCCCGTGTAGTTCTGGGCTGATTCCTCACTGTTCTCATGATCATTGCAACTCCACGAGGTGAGATATTGCATGGAGCCCCAGGCCGAGGGAGATTGACAGTTCTTTTGTGTTTCTTCCATTTGCGAATAATCGCACCAACTGTTGTCACCTTCTCACCAAGCTGCTTGGCGATGGTCTTGTAGCCCATTCCAGCCTTGTGTAGGTCTACAATGTTGTCCCTGACATCCTTAGAGAGCTCTTTGGTCTTGGCCATGGTGGAGAGTTTGGAATCTGATTGATTGATTGCTTCTGTGGACAGGTGTCTTTTATACAGGTAACAAACTGAGATTAGGAGCACTCCCTTTAAGAGTGTGCTCCTAATCTCAGCTCGTTACCTGTATAAAAGACACCTGGGAGCCAGAAATCTTTCTGATTGAGAGGGGGTCAAATACTTATTTCCCTCATTAAAATGCAAATCAATTTATAACATTTTTGACATGCGTTTTCCTGGATTTTGTTGTTGTTATTCTGTCTCTCACTGTTCAAATAAACCTGCCATTAAAATTATAGACGGATAATATCTTTATCAGTGGGCAAACGTACAAAATCAGCAGGGGATCAAATACTTTTTTCCCTCACTGTACATGGCATGCTCATTTTTGTTACAGCCCAGCAGTAACGCATCACGTCATGTCAGATTGGTGATTAATTCAACAAAAGGAGGAAGGAATTATGTTTAAGAGTATTCAAACGTGACCATAGTTTTCATCCTAGCCTTTAATGTAACGTAGCCAAAGACTTGATAACCCCTGTGTAACAAGGAGAGTGAAGTCTATGGCCAATCAATGATGTAAACTGATTTTTATTTAGCCAGGGAGTCATGTTAAGACCACAATCTGTTTTGCATATGAGCCCTGAATGAACACATCAATAAACAATTACGCTATTCATACCTATATACACATAAATTACACAAACATAAAAAGCAAAACACAATCATATGAAACAAACACATTCTCCTGTAAAAATATATTTGTCTCCAGGGAAAAACTAAAGCCACCAGGACTGTGGTGGTCCTTGAGTAGTTGGAATGATGTACCCATGGGTTGTATTCCTTAGGCACCAAACGGAAGAAAATGGACTGAAACAGGAGGGACTACTCTGGTGCTCTTTTTCATTTTCCATTGCAAAACATTTTGCTGCGATGTGCTCTAATGAATATGACCCTGGATCAAACGCTGTGAAGGGTTGTTGTGGGCATTGAGTGTCTATGAACCTCTGGACATGTGTGTCCCTAGAGAGAGGGGCGGTCCACCCTTTCACACACTCTCTGCAGCTCCAAAATCTCCAACACTGAGTTTTGCTGCCTCAAATCTTATCTTTAAACTTCCAATATCTTTAAACTGTTTTGGGGGGATCTGTCTTGGTTACCTTTATCTAATCTGCTTATCTGACCTCACTTCAACCGGAGAACCAGATTTCAACCAGAAAATTACATAATTATGACGTCCCTTGCCAAATGTGGCCTGCTTGGTAAACAACCTGACTATGAAGTCACAAAGATATCAGCCTGATGTCTTTTCACCCAATTAAGTTTTAGTTTTTACATAGGTTTAAGAAGTTATATTCAAAAAAATTGCTGCAACTAATCTTGGCACTAATTGATAATGATTAATTAATTAATTAATTATTAACAAAAGAAATCTACGCTATACATAAAAATGATCCCTTATTGAGCTGAAATTCTATATTGTCTTTAGACGAACATACCTGTCCAGTGAACAGACCTGAGCACATCTCAACACACAACTCTGGAGACCCTGAACACATGAACATTTGTATGGTTCGAGCCAGATTCAGAGGTCCCACCCTTTGCACTGGCCTCATTTCGATTGGCCAGTTGCTTTAGAATTGGGCGAGATGATGGGGAAGGGGAGATTGAGGGAGAGAGATTGAAGGAGTTTAGCATGGTTCGCAAGAGAGTCAGAAGGAAGGGAAAGAGAGAGGGGAGGGTAGTCAAGAGAAAGTGATTGTTCTGGGAGGAGGTAGTCAGTCCTGGAGTGCACTGCACACTCTCGCTTACACACAGGCTGCCTGTTGGAGGCAAGCAAATGTTTCCATATCATCACTTTCCTTTAACTCCTTTATTTTTAAATGGCTTGGTGCATATTTGAACCTTTATTTTGTTTATCATTGCTATATTATCTGATGCTTAGTTTATTGATAAATAAGTATTTTGAGTATTACTTTCCTATTGATTTATCATTTTCATATTTTCTGGTGCTTACTTAAAATCAAATGAGTTTCTGGTGCTTGCTTCGACATAATTTTTAAAATTGTTGGGTATTGTTTTCTTGGAGTTGCACTCCTCTTGGTTGCTAATGACCTGAATGTCCTGCTATGCCACCAGGTCTGTGGGCATGACAGAGATTGGCCACAGATTAAATGGCAAGAATACAATTCTGCAATTTGCTAAAAGTTGTCCAGAATCAAGTCAATAATTGTCCGATTATTTTACAACACCAACGTAAAAATAGCAGTGGTCAGGGACACCTGATGTAAATTGTGCATAAATGCTTTGGGGATTTGAACTTTCAATCTTTTGGGGAGGAAGTGCATTAATGTTTCAGCAGTGCCACCAGGTACATCTTTATTACCAAGAACATACAGTATATCCACACTCTCAAAATTAGGGGTATGGTTAGGGTACAGTGCTGTTCCGTGGGGTGCAAAAAGGTCAAAGGTACACCTACAGAAGTACACATAGGAACTCACATGGTACTGGTTGGTTCCTTTTAGGGTACATGTGAGGATAATGTAGTATAATGGTACATTTTTCTACCCAATATTTGGAATATAAGGTACAATCGAAACTACTATTTGAAATGTAGGTGGGGGATCTAATAATATGTATATTTGTACCAACCGTCAGTGGAAGTGTTGTACCAGTTTAAGTGGTTGATGGTTATGTTGTCAAAGGTTGGGTACCTCTTAATATGGTCAGTGTTGCAACTGGCAGGTCTTTGTAAGAGCATGTGACATTAACACTAGAACTACCTGGCCTTTCAGCATATAAATACCTGCTGAGAATGTCCACTTTAGCATATGCCTCAGATACAGTGGGGAAAAAAAGTATTTAGTCAGCCACCAATTGTGCAAGTTTTCCCACTTAAAAAGATGAGAGAGGCCTGTAATTTTCATCATAGGTACACGTCAACTATGACAGACAAATTGAGAAAAAAAATCCAGAAAATCACATTGTAGGATTTTTTATGAATTTATTTGCAAATTATGGTGGAAAATAAGTATTTGGTCACCTACAAACAAGCAAGATTTCTGGCTCTCACAGACCTGTAACTTCTTCTTTAAGAGGATCCTCTGTCCGCCACTCGTTACCTGTATTAATGGAACCTGTTTGAACTTGTTATCAGTATAAAAGACACCTGTCCACAACCTCAAACAGTCACACTCCAAACTCCACTATGGCCAAGACCAAAGAGCTGTCAAAGGACACCAGAAACAAAATTGTAGACCTGCACCAGGCTGGGAAGACTGAATCTGCAATAGGTAAGCAGCTTGGTTTGAAGAAATCAACTGTGGGAGCAATTATTAGGAAATGGAAGACATACAAGACCACTGATAATCTCCCTCGATCTGGGGATCCACGCAAGATCTCACCCCGTGGGGTCAAAATGATCACAAGAACGGTGAGCAAAAATCCCAGAACCACACGGGGGGACCTAGTGAATGACCTGCAGAGAGCTGGGACCAAAGTAACAAAGCCTACCATCAGTAACACACTACGCCGCCAGGGACTCAAATCCTGCAGTGCCCCCTGCTTAAGCCAGTACATGTCCAGGCCCGTCTGAAGTTTGCTAGAGTGCATTTGGATGATCCAGAAGAGGATTGGGAGAATGTCATATGGTCAGATGAAACCAAAATATCACTTTTTGGTAAAAACTCAACTCGTCGTGTTTGGAGGACAAAGAATGCTGAGTTGCATCCAAAGAACACCATACCTACTGTGAAGCATGGGGGTGGAAACATCATGCTTTGGGGCTGTTTTTCTGCAAAGGGACCAGGACGACTGAATATACTCTTTCTGATACTATATAGAAATCAAAATGTTTTACCTGCATGTGACTCTGAAGGCGGATTTGATAAAGTGATGCTCCTTTCCCTATATCTGTCAATTACAATATTTGCCCATCTCTTCATGTACAATTTGACAAACGATAATATAATCACATCATATTATTGTTAATTTAATCTTGTCTATAGGCTAACTTTTATTATGTGTGAAATTAGTTTAGGTATATAGTAGGTGTAGTTTTCATGGGTCGGGTGTGCAGGCTGACTGGCATCGTTTGTTTCTCGCTCATCAACTAGGATAGAGTCAAGGATAGGTTTTGCAATATTCTAAAGGCCTACTGCAACACATAGCATGTTTTCGTTCCCTTACAATACATTTGATTAGTAATAGAGTTACAGTAAACAAACCAGTCCCATAACAACTGATTTTTACAAAGTAAAACATAAAAAGAGAACGGTATCAACCCGCAAGGCGCACAATCAAACTATTAACATGAGCATCAACGCTGATAAATAGGCATAACACAAACTCATCATTACACTATTGTTGTTCTAAATTAAATCGACCTCTTCATCCTGATCATTCAGTTAGGCCTAATTTAAATTTGATTGTGAAGTAACTTGCACAATTATCGCCCATTCCATCCATTTGTGATTCATTCAGTGGGGCTGGCACAGTTTGCGTCCCTTCGCTCATCAACTCCAACTTGGATAGAGTTTTGCATTATTCTAAAGGGCTATTGCAACATGTAGCAAATTAAATCAACCACTTCACCCTCCTTATCATTCAGTTAGGCATAATTTCAATTAAATTGTGAAGTTGCACAGTTATCGCCTATTCATCCATTTTACCATTCATTCAGTGAGGAGAGAGAGACGCATTAGCGCCTACCAACATCCTACTGCGCATTTTCTTGACGGGTTAGGTTAGGAATAGGTATGAAAAAGGCTCTAAATACTTTTCTGTTTGTGATTTCAAAATTCTGACAAATGAGCAATGTAAAATACAAACATTTATGAAAACAGTTGTTGCTCAATACGGATAATGTGACTACAATGATGTTGTAAACAAAAGCACCTTTTCACAGACATATACATATCTTATATGGGCAGAAAGCTTAAATTATTGTTAATCTAACTGCAATTTCCAAATTACAGTAGGTATTACAGCGAAAAAATACCATGCAATTGTTTGAAGAGCACAACAACAAAACACTTTTATCACGGTGACAGGTTTGATACATTCACATCTGAATTTAAATAATGTACTTACATTCAGTAATCTTGCTCTGATTCGTCATCCTGAGGGTCCCAGAGATAAATTTTTGTATCCTAACACTATCCATGTTGTATACAGCGTTCCGTCTGAATTGCAACTCGTTCAACTTGCAATAAAGCATTTTGATGTAATATAAAAACTACACCTTGTTTCACCCGGTCAAGTTCTGTTTTTCTGCAATCTTCAGATACTCAAGAAGGCAACCAAACCTTTTCAGCATTCTGCATGACGTATAGGCTACACAAAAGTTATTTTAGCCCACCAAGGTCTGACCTAATTACGCACCAATGAGACGGGCGGTGTTCACTTGATTGACTGTATCTTGGTCCAATGACGACCTATCGTTTTGAAACATAGCTAGCTAGATAGCCAATGAGCTGGGCTTTACATGAGTATCTGATGGTCCTTTGTATGAGGAAAAGCCATTTTGCTAAGCCCGCGCGCAACGCGACTCATTCTCCATTGAAAATCGAAAGGACCAAGAGGAGTTTTTATTACGCACGACTCGATTTAGTTCTACAAAGTTACAGTAAATAAAGCACTCAAACCACAGCATTTCATAGTAAACATAAAATACACAGGCTATACATTGTGGGTCTATATAAAAGCCAGTGGAGGCTGGTGACGGGAGGATTGTTCATAATAATGGCTGGAATGGAGTGGCTTTTTTATGTAAATATATAGAAACCTACAATATACAATGTATTAGCATAGACAGTGTATTTTATGTTGACTATGACATGCTGTGGCTTTCGAGTATCTTATTTACTATTGATACACATACATAATTATAGTGATTGTGTACCCCATAATCTATATATGTTTATAGATGTGTTGTTTATTTGATGTATTGATGCAGGGCTCATCCGTAAAAGTATTGATGCAGGGCTCACCCCCTGCTAAAATAAAGTAATAGTAAACTTGAGTTCTTACTGAATGTTTTTTTTAAATCTTCAATAGTGCCAATGACTCAGATGACCTTAGGGAACCACCACATTCAAGTTGTCCATCCCCCACACATTCAAATGTAGAAACTGGTTCATCCAGTCTGTCCCCTGCTGCGGTCTCTGGCTCCAAGCCTAGCCCCGGCCGGCCATCTAGAGGTGTGAATGTCCACATTCCAGCTGCTGTAAAGGATTACAACAAGAGCATGGGAGGTGTGGACCTGTCAGATGCGCTGATAGGCTACCACAATGTTCTCCACAAGACAATGAAATGGTACAATCAATCAATCAATCAATCAATTTTATTTTATATAGCCCTTCTTACATCAGCTAATATCTCGAAGTGCTGTACAGAAACCCAGCCTAAAACCCCAAACAGCTAGTAATGCAGGTGTAGAAGCACGGTGGCTAGGAAAAACTCCCTAGAAAGGCGAAAACCTAGGAAGAAACCTAGAGAGGAACCAGG